GCAGTTGCTCTAACAAGAGATTTAAGGAAGGGATTACTAACAATGAGCTTCTTGGGAGGGACTTGTAGGTATGTGATATTAAATGAACACATCTTCCATGGAGGGGTGAAATGCTCTTGTTGCCTACAGTGATACAGTTCATGTAGGTTATAAAACTTAATGCAATTGCACGTTTTCACAATCCATTTAGATCTGTGTGTATATACCTCTAGACACTTGGTAAGATTCACTGTGACAGTGTCTGGTTCGTTTCTCAACATTCTGATACCGAGTACAGTGTCAATTTCAACAATCCTATCACTGATACTAGAAATACCAAGCTCCTTCCTCATGTTAAGAACTTTTGTAGATCTGGGACAGCCAAGAATAATCCTGAGAGCTTCATTTTGCATTACTCCAAGGTCGGGAGAGAACTTTCTCTAGCTAATATCACATGGGAGCAGCATAATCAATTAAGGACCTAACATAGGCTATGTACATCATTCTCACGATTCTCACATTAGCACCATAGTTGGGATTGTAGCCAGCAACAGCTTTGAGAGCATTTAGCCTAGCTTTGCATTTCTTGTTTAGTTGTGGTATAGTGGATTTGTTAAAGGGTACATCTACACCAAGATATCTGTAAGTTTTAACGTAGCTAAATGATTTCACCCTGCAAATAGATGGTGGGGGATGTCGTTTGCTTGTTAATATCTTTGTTTTAGAGGAAGATATTATGAGGCCTAGTCGATTACAAATTGCTTGAACTTCATTAAGAATGGTATTCATCTTCTTATGCCCTGTTGTATGGATCATGATATCATCAGCATAGCTTGTAGCTATATGTTTAGGTGAGGCAGGTAGAGCATTTAGGAGAGCATTAATCAGAATATTAAATAGCATGGGACTAAGAATTCCTCCCTGCGGTGTACCTAAAGACATTTCTTTAGAATCACTTCTGAAGCCTTGGTAAAGGACAGAGGATACTCTATTTGACAGGTATCCTATTATCCAGCAGAGTAAGCTACCACCAATATTCATTTTGGCTAGTTCATGTAGTATAACGGTTCTGTTCGCAATATCAAATGCAGATTTTAGATCAAGAAAAGTGGTAAAACTAGTAGAGGTGTGTGCAGTGAGAAAGGTGGAAATACAGTTCTGCACACTTTTACCTTTCATGAACTCATAGAGGTAGGGGGAAAGTTGGTGTCTGATTCTGTAGTACAGTCTGTTAAGCATCATTCTTTCAAAAGTTTTACGAAGACAACTAGTTAAGGAGATCGGCCTAAATGTATCAGGCTGTTGGGGCTTAGGGATAGGCACAATGAGACTATTGGTCCAAGAAGTAGGAAGAACGCCCTCAATGTAACTGAGATTATACAGTGCCAACAAAGGGTTATCAGGCACGTGCCTTAGAGTTCTGAGAATATCATAGGTTATACCATCCTCTCCAAGAGCAGTTGATCGACCTTTAGTTAATGCATTATCTAATTCATACTCGGTAAAGAGGCAATCACTCTCATCAATATTTTGGGCTCATAAAATAATCAGTTTCAACATTTCTTCAGAAGTACTCTCTAATTTTTTTTCTAATATGAGATGGAAGGCTTTCATGCCTGGATGTTTTGGACCAGTCATTTATGAGGTCATTTGCTTTTTCAAGAGGAAAGGGATGAGCAACATTGCCAGTCTTTTTCCTGGTTATTTTATTTATACATTTCCAAGCCAAACTCAAAGGGGTGGACCTAATTTATAATCCACTAACAAACTGTTCCCATTCCTGTTGCCTAAGTTCTTCCTTTCTATTCCTTGCATTTGTTAGTGCAGCTTGGAACGTTCTGAGCAGGTATGGGGTTCTACATTCACGGTATGCTTTACCAATCCTCCTAGCTGCATGCGTTAGATTGCGTAGCTGTGGATCATTATAGTATTTACATTGGTTTTTATTGTTATTTATAGTGGAGGGTCTTTGTTTCCTATTCCTGCCCACTTGATCTGTGAGAACACTCTCAATAGTGGTAATTAAATCATCATTAAATTTTTGTGTGCCAATGGGCTCGTAATTCTTAACCATTGATCCAAGTGGTTAATAAAGTTGTCTCTGTGTTCTGGTTTGAGAACAAGTTTCCTCCTTCTGTATTTAGCTCCTTGATTGCTGGAGATATGATCAAGATTGACAGTTGTTAGTCTTGGGAAGTGAACAGATAGAAGATCATCAACTATGACAGAGTCATGCATCGTATATGATGTATTAAATCCAAGACACAGATCTAGTATGCCACCACATATGTGAGTAGGCTCAGTAGTGCCCACAATTCGAACATTATCATGCTCATTTAGCAATCTCACTAGTTTAGTTCCATTGGTGTTTGTTATAGACCCACCAATATTGTTATGTCTGGCATTAAAATCTCCAAGAATGATGGTAGGTTCACTATTGATGCGATCTGGTAAAGCATCAGGTCGAAGCTGGTTCGCTGGGGCATAGAGATTAAAATGTTTATGGAAAAATCGCCTGCATATACTTTGGACACCATGATACTGCATGTTAACTCGACTCTGCAAGGAAAGGAGTGAATGTGGCAAGTTCTTTCTGACATACATCACACAACAGTTGGTTGACCTTAGGTTATAAGCTGCATATCCAGCAAGTTTGGTGGAGGTGCTCCATCTTTCAATCTACATTCCTGCAAACAGATGACATCAATATTCTTGGTTGCACTAATATGATGTAAGTCAGGCAACCGCTTCCTGATGGAAGCAATGTTCCATGAAAAGATTTGTAATGTATCCATTGTAGTGAGTTATTACAATCTCTTGCTCATAAGATGGTAAAACTATTATGCTTTGACTACAGTGTGCAGACACTTAAGAGCAAATAGCATAGTTTGTACGTCTTTATCTTCAGGACCCTTATTTTTAAGCATTTTTCGGCATCTTGGCAGCCAGTTAAAAGGCAAGTCTTGAAGGCAAGAGTCATGGGCTTCTTTCTCACAAATTGCTGGAAGCTGAACGGAGATTGCTGCACTTTTGACATCACCATGCTCAAGAGCATCATCCTGATTACATATATTTATTAAACTTGTCAGGATCTGTTCAAGATGCTCAATTTTTTTCTGGAAATTTGTTATAATATGAGGAAGGTCAGGCGAATCCAATGCCTTTCCGAGGCATTGCAGTATTACTTAAAATTTTATGTGCTTTGCGAGTGGTTTGTAAAGATGGAAATTTTAACTATTTCTTCGAAAATTAGCATTGCTTATATAAGTATTATGAAAGTGCATTGGTTGGCTTAGTAAGCGAGGGCGGTGAACACTAGGACTTATTGTGCACAATTACCAAACAGAATTCACTGCGGAGCTCCATGCATCCTCGTACTCTCATACAGCTTGGGCAGTTGAATCTCGGTTCACTGTCTATTCAGATTCCCAGTGTACTCTGCTCTGGCCCAGTATGCTTCCATCCATCCTGTAGTTCAAAAGATCCAGGAGTGGTTAAACTGTCTCAACTTGCAGCAAAAAGGATATTGAGTTCTGGTGGTACCCGGGCTATGTTAGTATCCAGGGAAATGAGCAGACAGGTTCTTGCTCTGCCATAGATCGAGCACAAGGTTATTTTGCTCACTCCAACAGAAATTGTCACTTAGTCTCTCACGAGACTTTGAAGAGGCAGTAAATGACATGCCCATGCACTCTGCTCTAGGCCCAGACCCCCTGGAACTCCGTGTTCATCAAGAATTGCAAGAAGCTCCTATCGCATGCCTTCAGCATTTTATGGAGAGGGAGCAAGGACACAGGGGTCATCCCACACACACTAAAAAGACAGACATAGCCCCACTCCACAAAGGTGGCAGTAAAGCAGTTGCAGAGAACTACAGACTGATAGCACTAACATTACATATCATAAACATCTTTGAGAGGGTTCTAAGAAGCAAGATGGCCAACCACCTAGATACCCATCAGTTACACAACCCAGGACAACACGGGTTTAGAGTAAGTCGCTCCTGCCTGTCCCAGCTACTGGACCACTATGACAAGGTTCTGGATGCTGTAGAGAATAAACAAAATACAGATGTATACACAGACTTTGCAAAACCTTTCGACGAGTGTGATCAAGGTGTAATAGCACACAAAATGCATGATAAAGGAATAACAGGAAAAGTTGGTAGATGGATCTATAAATTCCTGACAAATAGAACACAAAGAGTAATAGTAAACAGAGTAAAGCCCCAGGCAGCCACAGCAAAAAGCTCTGTTCCATAGGCACAGTACTTGCTCCCATTATATTCCTCATCCTCATCCCTGAAACCCTCTCCAGGTATACTCCAGGTATGGGTCCCTCTATGCTGTGAAGGGTTTGAATCAAATTTGATTATATCTCCTTCCCCAGGCACTGTATTAACATCATGACGTCTAGTGCTTCCTCAGTATAATAATAATGTTTAAGTGTGTATATTCCATATTTATTTTCTATTCCAGTTATCAAAACCTTGCATTTGTTCACAGCTGCCACTTTTCTGACCATTAACTTCTCCCAGGTGTCCTTTTTGAATTTGAGAGCCTAATTTTGTGTTTATGGAGAACATGTAGATGGTTGCCGAAACTAGCTCTAAAAACCCACTTGTGACTGGTTCTCATTATAATTTTCCCCATACATAATCTCGAGCCCCAATAAATCAGCAGTGCCTTATTTCTGCAGACTTGATCTGAGCGGTAGGGGCATTCAGAATTTCTTTTAATTTAAACTTTATTATTTTTATTTGAATCATATAAATATTCTTGAATTGTCCCATTCTAATTTTTTGTCTACATTATTGCAGGTTCCACTCATTAGTTCTGTTAGGGTCAGAATAGTAAGAGACCTTACTAGTCACTGCTGGACAGTGAGATTATATCATTCACCGCTGGATAATTAGAAGTGGTGCATTGTACAAGTCCTTGTGAATTACTCGAGAACTTGTTTATTATACCAGGGTATTTTGCTGTTCACATAGACACTTATTAACATATATTTGTCATCAGGGTCTCATGTTCCTGCCGTCTTTGGGTGATCCTTGCAGCGACAACATTGACTGCACCAGCGGGTGCTGCCTCATGACCGGACATAGGCACCGACGGCCCATAGGCGTATGTCAGTCTCTCAGACAGATTGGTAAGTTATTGATAACCAGTAGGGCTCCCAGGGGCAGCTTCATAAATTTTATATAGGAGGGCTTAGGGGGTGGCAGTGTGGTTGGAAGAGGGGGGGATTAGGGGACTTATCAACATTATTTTTATTTGGGAGCTTCAGACCTTCAGCATTGCCCCTTGGCACTGCCCCTGCCCCTGCATAGGCCTGTGTCAACTCTTTGATTCATAAGTAACTGATGACCCATAGGCCAATATTAACCTCTCAGACAAATCTGTAATTTACATTTTCAATGTACTTTTCTTATTTAAAAAATACTTAAATATTATAAACACTAACAAACTGGCTATCTTCTACCAATATACACATTCACCATTCATTCAGTGCCTGTCTGCCAGAAGTGCTCTTGTTATTGCAGTTTAAATGAACCTCCAAACTGCAACATAAATACCCATTCTTCAGATTACAGTCTGTACTTGCCACCTTCCTTCATGACTGCTGTATACCTTGCAGATACTCCAACAGCATGTCAAGTGAAGTGGTAGTAAAGTATTTTGTCAAAATGTTTCCTGATGAGTCACATTAAGGGCAACATGGGTCAGCTTAAGGAATGGCAGAGGTTCAAACTTTTGTCTACTAATTGTGAGACAGGCACTAACTAGCTGTACTCATGAGGACATAAAAAGGAGAGGATAGACACAATGTACTTTGAGATTAAAAAAAAAATCCATCAAAATTTAGTAGATGGTTAAGATAACTTGGTATATGCTTGCAAAGTAGGGTGCCCATCAAGATGGCCATAGACGAGTCTGGTATGAAGTCATGAAAAAACAGTTCAAATAAGCACCGAAGATGAGAGGAGACAGACAGACAAACATGTCTGATTGTATATTAAACTGCTTTTGATAATTTTTAAGTTCATTGTCCTGAAAATCCCAATGTGCCTCGAGGTCAGTACAGAGCTCTTGATCCAAGGAACTGGATCTATTCTAGCTTTGGATAATTATTACAATCATAACTAAGTGCTAAACCCATAAGGGTCAGCCTTGGATAGAACCTTATTGACTTTTATTCCCTATGTGCTGTATAACCTCTGTGGTTTTAGTGTTTCCCTCTGTTAATAATAGTAATGCTCTAAACAACAGACTAGCCAGGACCCAGCGGGTTATTTGTGTATCGTTCCGGTCATGGTATTGTGCCTTTTTTTTTTATTTATGTCTAAAGAATATGTAATACAACTTGCACAGAATATGAAAGACAAGGGAATGGGAGGAATCAAAGCTGCAGTGGACTATTAGTGTCTTGTCTACTACAAGTGATGAGGTGGACATGGTAGCAATGATGACAACAGCAAGTGCATATTAATTCATCTGAAAATAATTCAGTTCTTATTATTATAAAAAAGAAGCACTAAACCACAAGGGTTATACAGTGAAAAAAAAAATTCAGGAGCCTTCCTTGGATCAGACATTGGGAAAAAACTATTTTTCCCATTATCAGGATTCAGAGCCACTGGTCTATACAGCAGTACTTTTCATGGGAGCACAATCTGTCATTAATTCATAAAGTTGTAGGGGAGTGCTAAACCCAGAGGTCATATAAAACCTAGGAGTGGGAAGCAATCAGATTTGACCTAAGGAAAGGGAGGGCAATTCAAATCTTTGGATTAAATTTCCTTTACTGGCACACAGTTGTAGCATCAGAGTATAATTGGAAATTCTCAAGCAACACAAATTCCCTTAACAGGGTGGTTGCCATTATGAGGCTATTTTATTAACAAATTTGTTAGGCACTTTATTTAAAATCTTATATTAATTTCCTTCATTTTGTTTCACACTTAAGAAATTGTATTGTTTACCTAATATGGATTAAACTTTAGTGTTACCACTTTTTATGAGCTGTTCCAAAACTAAGAAGCTTACTATAAATAGTACAGTACTGTACATAAATTCTCCAAGAGAATTTAAAATTACTTATTGTTGAGATTTCCAACCCTGGATCCTATTATTTTGACAAGAATGTTTGCATTAATAATCTCTCTCTACAGGCGAGTACTGTGCTCCAGGGACCCGCCTGAGGAACTACTATGGCTCACGGGTATACACGTACTCTTGCCCCTGTGGTGCAGGACTCACTTGTAAGCCCAAGTGGTCATCCATGCTCTATGGTGTAGGTATCTGTTTAATAGTTTTCATTATTAGTGTTTTAATGAAGGGAAATTCCTGTATAAGTTGTCTTAGTAAATAAATTACACAAGACAAAACCATTAACAGTACTTTATAGCTATAATCATTATATTATTCTTAAGCAATCTTTCCAGAAGGGTAGAGATAATGAAACTGTAATTCATCGATTTGAAACATCTGGCCCACATATACTGCCTTGAACTCAAGTATAGCTAATATATGTAGCGTGTATGTTCTGATAGTTCTCATGGTGGGGGTTGATTCTTGGCACTTTGCTTCCAGTTTCACCAATATTCACAAAAAGCTAAACTAGGAGCCATTCAGCACTGGGGGCCCCCCCCTCACATACCTGTCCTTAAAACTGTTCATGGATTCTCCCTCCATGAGGCTGAAGATAAATATATCCTAACAGTACTGTGACTCAGTTCTCTCTCTAACTTTCATGTGTAACCTTGTTCCTGATCACTACCTGTCTGAGAGATTGCCTGTTTTGGTTTTCCTCAGTTTTAGTTACAAGAGACAAATGGTTTTTAATGGATGTGCTGCTAGTGTGAGAGCAAGGTAACACACAAGGGATTAAAAAAAAACTGGTTTATCAGACTTGAGTTCTGGAGGTGGGTAGGACAGTGCCTGCATTCTGAAGGAGGGGTGGAGATTTTGCTGTTTAAAGGGCCATCTAAAATGTAATGTCAGCATGCTTGTCAAGATAGTGATTGAATGAGTGGAAGATGGTTGGTGTTAAAAAATTATTATATTCAAAAGGAAATACAGTGGTACCCAGAGTTTCAAACTTTCTTCGTTCCAGAAGGCTGTTCGAGTGCCATTACCGAACGAATTTGTTCCCATGAGGAATAACGTAAATGAGATTAGTCCGTTTCAGACCCCAAAAATACACTTACATAATTGGTCGAGTTGGGAGCAGTTCAAAACTCAGGGTACCACTGTACTACAGTGATAAGAGCCTGGGGAGTGGGAGGTAATGTTTGATCAGAGGAAAGTGGGAAGGTAACTCCAATTTCTTGGGTAGAGCCCTCCACCAGCTTCAACATCCCCTTCCCTTGAGAGGGAAGGAAATGGAGAGGGAGGAATTGGAGCAGGAAAAAAAATGCTTTTTAAGAAATAGTTTTCTTTATTTTTGTGCATAACACATTTATAACAAGTTTCTTCATTTCAGCGGAGTGTGATGGAAGATCCAAAGTGTATGCCAGAAACTATGCATCCATATGTCCTAGCAATGAAGGGTTATGGTTACAACATGAACAACAGACACACAAATTCAATTAATATTGTTCCTGCTGAGTAATGTCTTAAAATGAAGAAACAGTGGGTGTACACAAACAAAAGTATCCTTGAAAGACAGTGATGTCTGCTGCATTTATGAGACTTGCATATATAGATATATGCAGTTGCTGTATATGAAATATGCACTTATAGTAAAGGTATGGTAAAAACATTTTCAGGTACTATGTATATTTGAATGAGTCAAAATGCACATCCTTATACATATACTTACTGTACAGTGTATCACTTGTACGTTAAATATTTATTAGTATAAAAAACATTTATCTTAAAATTACTATTTAGTGCACTTTAAACTGTCCAAATGTAGATCTACGTTCACAGGCATAGAGCTACATTTTTTTTTTTTTACATAAAGCATGTAAAATTGAACGTAGATCTACATTTGGAGTGCTACACACGTGAACGTAGATCAACATTTGGACAGTTTAAGGGTTAAATTACTTCTACCAAGTCTTGCATTTTGTTAAATTACCTTTTCATAGGTCTGTTTTTAAGTTTGTATGTTTAGTATACATTTTTATCTGGAGAAAATTTCACTAATACAAAATAGTTCTTTCAATGATTATGGAGATATTAATCTACTCTCCTTGCCATTTTAGTTCCTGCCTCCAAGTGCCTTGAATTCAGATTCCAGCATGCATTGGGAAAATTTTAATTGTGGCTTCAAGAAACAAGCTCCAGTAGTTGGTAACTTGATCCTGGTAAATGTCATACAGAATTATAATCATAGTGTTAAACCCACAGGCATCATTCAGTGCTGTAAGATAATGGGGCCAGAAATATAAGTAGCAGTCATTTAGAAGCAGCTACTTTTTGATCACTTGATGTAAATGGTAATGACTGTAAATTGGAACTAGTTAATGTCTCAGTGTAAAAATAAAGATATTTTTGATTATACAGTACCTCTGAGCCATTGGAAATGAGCTATATTTTCATATATACTGTAATTATAACCTCCTTGAACTTGTACTGCATTTTAATTAATAAAAGCACAAAACTGTTTACTGATCTCCTTGTCCTGCATACATTATTTTTTTTATAACACGCTGAACATCTAGAGAAAAGAAGCTTTTATCAGTAAGTGTGTATGAGCATGCTAGGAGTGGAGGCAAATGCATTTTTATGGCTTGATGTGCGAGCAAAGTAACATTTATGAAGGAGTCGAGGGAAACCTGTTAGCTAGGCTTGAGTCCTGGAGGCGAGAAGTATAGTGCCTATGCTGTGAAGGAGGGGGGGATATGTTGCAGTTTTTGAACTCTAGTATCAGTACGCCTTTGGCAAGATAGTAATGGAGCAAGTGTTTCTTCATTTTTGGGTCACCCTGCCTCAGTGGGGAATGAGGTTAAAAAAAAAAATAATGCTATTCAGTACAGTACAGCCTCTCCTCACTTAGCAATGTACTTGTTTACTAACAACTCAGACAAGCTCTGAACAATATGCATACCTATAAATAATGTATATTAAGAGCTGATTTCCTCTATTCTGTGTATTACAATATACAGTACACTACTGTATAAACATTTAAAAATATACCAGAAATGTTATTAATGATGCAAAGGTGACATCAACACAATATCAAAGATGGTTGACACACACACTACCATTCTAGTACATTCCTCACTTAGCAACGAATTTGTTTACCAATGTGGTCTTAGGAACAGAACTCGGTCATTAAGTGAGGAGAGGCTGTATTTTAACCAATTACTTAACAGATCAATTTTGCTAGAATTCTTATATTGTACACTAATACAGTTAGATGCCTTATGTCATTGACAAAAAAAAAAAAAAAAGTGTAAAACACTGTTACACATACAGCTAAAACTCTTCAGGAAAAATAATATACTGTATATTCATCACTATACCCACAAATGATTATAATGAAAATGAAGGTGCTAAACCTACAAGGATCATACAGCACAGCAAGGACCCACAATTGAAGTGTGTAAGAATTTTAAGAATAAATTACAAGTATAATTGTTAATGGACGTGTCAGCGGATGGATCTATGAAAGATGAGGTGAATCATAGAATTGATGAGGGAAAAAGAGTGAGTGGTGCACTTAGGAGTCTGTGGAGACAAAGAACTTTGTCCTTGGAGGCAAAGAGGGGAATGTATGAGAGTATAGTTTTACCAACGCTCTTATATGGGTGTGAAGCGTGGGTGATGAATGTTGCAGCGAGGAGAAGGCTGGAGGCAGTGGAGATGTCATGTCTGAGGGCAATGTGTGGTGTGAATATAATGCAGAGAATTCGTAGTTTGGAAGTTAGGAGCAGGTGCGGGATTACCAAAACTGTTGTCCAGAGGGCTGAGGAAGGGTTGTTGAGGTGGTTCGGACATGTAGAGAGAATGGAGCGAAACAGAATGACTTTAAGAGTGTATCAGTCTGTAGTGGAAGGAAGGCGGGGTAGGGGTCGGCCTAGGAAGGGTTGGAGGGAGGGGGTAAAGGAGGTTTTTGTGTGCGAGGGGCTTGGACTTCCAGCAGGCATGCGTGAGCGTGTTTGATAGGAGTGAATGGAGACAAATGGTTTTTAATACTTGACGTGCTGTTGGAGTGTGAGCAAAGTAACATTTATGAAGGGATTCAGGGAAACCGGCAGGCCGGACTTGAGTCCTGGAGATGGGAAGTACAGTGCCTGCACTCTGAAGGAGGGGTGTTAATGTTGCAGTTTAAAAACTGTAGTGTAAAGCACCCTTCTGGCAAGACAGTGATGGAGTGAATGATGGTGAAAGTTTTTCTTTTTCGGGCCACCCTGCCTTGGTGGGAATCGGCCAGTGTGATAATAAAAAATAATAATAATTGTTAATGTTATGACTAATAGGAAAATGGATGTCCTATGCACTCTGCAACAAAGTTAAAAAGAGAGCAAGAAGAGTTTTAACATGAAGTTGATGGAATCAATACATGCATATCTGAGAAAGCAATAGTGGGCATTATTATATTCACAAGAAAGTTATAAATCAGAAGAGATTATACAGGGCCAAACTGCAGGAAATATGCATGTAAAGTATCAGATATGTTTGGATGAGACTTTGTCAAGTCAATGTTATAAGCCAGTTTCATAATAATAATAAAAAAAAAAAAAGCAGCTCGTAACAGTAATATATAATTATGGAAAGAGAAAAAGGAATTAAAATGGTTAAATGATTGCCATTTTGAAGAAATGTACAATGTGAGGCCAGTGGAGGACAAACGTGAGATTCTGGGAGGCATTACTGCTGTATTATAAAGGTATTACTGTATTTACAAAGAGTGGATAAGAGTACAGTACTTGGACCATGTAAAATTCTAGGGTGGATGGAAGGAGAGATAGGGGATTGCACATCAACATTTACATGTGAGTAGAAACAAGGGTTTTTGATATTTGAAGTGCTGTTAGAGTTGGAGCAAAGCAAAATTTATTAAGGAATTCAGGAAAACCAGTTAGCTTGAATTAACCCTTTGACTGTCACAAGCCCATTTCTGAAACTCATTCTGTCGCAAAATTTTTGAAAAAAAAACAAAAAAAAAAAAAAAGTTCTTATGAAATGATAGAGAATCTTTTTCCATCGCTAATGACGCCAAAAACATGAAATTCGATCAAAAACCTACGGAATTATGCTCCCTTGGAGTTAGCAATCTTTGCGATATATACGCATCAGCGATTTCGCCGAGTTTGAGCACTATTTTCAGCTAATTCCATTGTTCCAGTTGACCAAACTCATAGCTATTTCTTTAGAACTCCATTTTTTCTATCAATTGAGTACAAGAAACCTCCCATTTACCAATTTCAACTACCCAATAAAGTTGTCAGAAATTGGCAACCTGGCCAATTTTATGCAAATTAAAAAAGATGCCAATTTCAAAATAGGATCCAGAATAAACAATGCGGATATTCTTGGCACTAAAATAACGTACCCTCTTACATTACTCGTTCTATTTTGATTTCTTATTCACACAAAAAATAGGTTTACTGTTATGCAGACCACTGCATTATTGTAAAAATGGTGTAAATAATATCAGTGCACTAGTGAAAGAATATTAGACTCCTCGGATGATGTGTATTGGATGTGTGGTGTGATTTGTTTACTCTTGAACATTGGTGAAAATCGAACATTTCTGCTACTTTGAGCTCAATTTCAAGGTTATTTTCATCATGAAACTAATCAAAATCATCTCTATTTCTGTGGTATGTTTTCCATTCTATCAAATGAGACCAAGAAAACGAGAATACAACCATAAATACTATATGAAAATACACCTCAAATTTGGCATTTTAATCCAAAAACATGGGTGGAGTTTTTTTCTTCCTCTTTATGCACTTCGTGCTGCAAGTTTTTTTTTTATACAGTGCACACTGACCACACAGACCCATTCTCTTACATGTGGGCCTACCAGCTTTCTCCTGCTTGATTTGAAGCTGCCAGAATTATTGAGCATATATATTTTCGGGCCACCCTGCCTTGGTGGGAATCGGCCGGTGTGATAATAAAATAAAATAAATATACGGCAGAAACAGTCAAAGGGTTAAGTCTGAAGGTAGGAGATAGTTCCTGCACTCTAACAGATGAATGGAGGATGTTAAAATTTGGTGGGTCATTTGAATTATGTCTAAACACTATTGGCAAAACAGCTAGCAAATGAATGATAGTGAGTTTAGTGTAGTCTTGGGATATTCTTCATGCACTCACAGTACAATTCAAATGACCTGGTTATCAAATATGTTTTATGCAGAAAGATGAAACAAGAGCTAATGCTAGTTATTATACTATAAAGCTAACATTAAAAATGAAAGCTACAGACTAAACTATTAAGTTTGTATCACAACAATGTACAAGAACCTAGAAAACATAATCCTGACTTGTAACAAAGTTGTACTTCATTACACCTCAATAATATAGGGAATTGTATAACTGTGGTTTCAAAAAATAAACTCATGATGTAGCTGATATAAAATTTTGTAAGTTTTCTAACATGTGAAGAATCATAAATATGTAAACTGGGAGGTTGCTTTCATTATATAGAGAGAATAAATAGTATGTACAGTACTAAATCAAAGTTCAAAATCTTCAATTTGGACATGATGGCATCTACATATTTTAACATCCTCCCCTTAACCCTCTCCTGCTCCTGGCTTACGTCATTTGACTAATTGTACACTGTTTTCTCAACTTTTACAGTAATATATTTTGGATATTTTCCCAGTTAAAATTAATTGTTGTGCAATAGAAATTGTTTATTTCAAACCTAAATGTTCATGGCACCAAATCAATAATTTTTTTTTTTTTCAACAAGTCGGCTGTCTCCCACCGAGGCAGGGTGACCCAAAAAAGAAAGAAAATCCCCAAAAAGAAAATACTTTCATCATCATTCAACACTTTCACCACACTCGCACATTATCACTGTTTTTGTAGAGGTGCTCAGAATACAACAGTCTAGAAGCATACACATATAAAGATACACAACATATCCCTCCAAACTGCCAATATCCCAAACCCCTCCTTTAAAGTGCAGGCATTGTACTTCCCATTTCCAGGACTCAAGTCCGACTATATGAAAATAACCGGTTTCCCTGAATCCCTTCACTAAATATTACCCTGCTCACACTCCAACAGTTCAGAATAAAATTTGATAGGCATGGTCACCCAATAGCTATCTATAAACAGAGACATTGTCGAGTAAATCAAAGTTCTAAAAATAATTATAAATTATTTTTAAGGCACATGCTTCTTAAAATCCACGAAGAAGTTTGGAAGGTGAAAGTGTACATTGTTTATAACATCCTTACCTTTATTGAAGGTATTTAAGTAATTCTGATGAATTAGATATGGTCATTTATGGAAAAAATTACAATTTACCATACTAGTATTTTAATAATTTAATAATTTACAATTATCACTAGCACAGTAATGTCAAAATACAGTATTAAAAGACATGAGCATATCAACCCTTTCACTGCTGCGACCCATGCTCACAAACTTGCTCTCACTGTCGAAGAAATTAAAAAAAATTTTGTTTTTTTC